GTGAATATCGCGCATATCGGGATTATCGTCACGACACGATATATCAACCAGCCCTACTGTATACTGTAGGAGCACAGAACACAGGAGCACATATATTTAACATTACAATAAAAAAAAACTAGATTTAAACATAGATACAGATGATATACTGTTATACTTTAAATGTCCACTGCTGAAGCTCAATAGACACGATATTTGAGGGATAAAGTTGACAATCTTTATGAAATTATGAATTATTGAAATGCATGGTTTATTTATCAACTGCCACCACTCTGTCAGGAATATTCAAGTCAGTTGACACTTTTAGTGCTGATGAGATGAGACACATTCAGTGAGAGCTCAGCTATTGGGCTCATGAATAATCTGTGTTTGCACTTTAATGTCACTTCTCAAACAGGAAGACAGATGACGGACATTGACGGACCTCCGGCTGCCTGCAGTAACGCTCCCAGCTCTGCAGGGATCACCAGGTGTGTGACGTTCACCACCTCCCTCCTGGTCAGCTCCTGAAAGAGTTGTTACGGTTTTTTACTGTCTTGTGGGAAAAGAAGATTCTACTTTTACAGATACATTTCTGATGTTTGATACAAGTCCCATATTTATCCTGTCAAAACGTCCATTGTACCATCTCTCTCCTCCTTCCCTCCTCCTCAGCTATCCTCTGGGCTTCAAACTTCATCTGAAACAGAAATCATACTCCATTCAAACAAGAGTAAGACAGAGTTAAAGCATTAAATTGTCACTAAAGTGGGCAATGTTTTTAACAGTATATGCCTGATGGATTTATGTACCTTGATGTATTGCTTGCGGTTGACGTACATGTGGACGAGAGAGCGAAACCGAACCAGACTCTGCCTCATTTTCACATAGCGCTTCCTGGAAGGAATTTGAGAATCACCACGTTAACAAATGTTCTCCTAATGTCATATTTTGATAACTCTTGCTACAAATACAACGGGACAAACGTTGTAGGCATGCTACAAGTAATTGTTTCAGAAGTCCCTGCTAAAATGTGTTTTTGAAGCCAGGATTTGGCTCAGTTTAATAAAACAATTAAAAATGTTGGATAACATGCAGTGAGTTTTAATATGAGGCAATAGTTTGTATTAAAACGTTTCCTTCTCAATTGATATGCATTCATTTTGCAGTTATCATCATGCTTGTCTGTTTGATATCCAATATGACCAAAAGAAAACTGTGTTGTTTTGGGAAACTTTAGGTCATTTTTGGCCAAGCATTGGTTTAAAGTGGACCTATCATGCTATATTTGAATAATATAGTGTAGGACCATACCTATATAAGGCATATTTATACTTTTTATTTTTCAAAATACCAAACAGATCATGCATTTTAGCCATTCCTCATTTCGCTCAATTGAACACTGTCTTTGCATGGGCTGATTCTGTGAGAACAGCACCATCTACAGGCCTGGCATATGTACTACAGCGTCTCCAGCGCTTTCCAACAGCAATGTCCGTAAAGTTTTTGGGGGAACCGTTTCGCCGAAAAAAATTGGTGGGGCCGTTAAACAAAAGAAAAGCAAAAAAAAAAAAAAGTCCCCTTTTTGCGAAGCATTTCCCGAAAAAAAAAAAGCGTCCCCCTTTCCTAAAAAAATTTTTTTTTTTTTTTAAAAAAGCCCGAAAAAACCGTCCCCGGAAAAAAAAGTTCAAACCCGGGGCCTTTCCCGAAAAAAAAAAGGGGAACGGGGTTTTTTTTTTTTTTTGGGGGTTTTTTTTTTCCCAAAAAAAAAAAGCCCCCCGAAAAGAAAAGAAATTTTTGGGCCGAAACTAAATTCAAAAAAAAAAAAAAAGTTTCTTTTCCTTTTTTTTTTTTTTAAAAGGATTTTAAAAACCCAAAAGTTTTTTCGTTTTTTTTTGGTTTTTTTCCCAAAAAAAATTTTTTTCCAGAAAAAACCTTAAAATTATAAAAAAGACCCTTTTACCCCCTTTTTAAAAAAAATTTTTTTTTTTCCGTAAAAATACAATTTTTTTTTTTTGTTTTTTTTTTTTACCCATGAAAAACCAATTAATTTGGGAAAATTTCCGTCAAACCTTTTTTTCTTGTTTTGGGGGGGGGGTTTTAAAAAAAAAAAAAATATTTTTCCCCCCAAAAATTTGTTTTTTTTGTTTTTTTATTTGGTTTGAAAAAAAAAAATTTAAAAACCCATGGGTTTTTTTTTTTTTGTTAACCCAAAAAAAAAACCAAAATTTTTTTTTTTTTTTTTTAAACTACCCAAATTTTTTGTAAAAAAAAAAACTTTTTTTTTCTCCCTGATTTAAAAATTTCGACTAAAAAAAAAATTTTTTTTCCCCCCTTTTTGGAAAATTTTTAAAAAAGGTTTTTAACCGTGTTTTTTTACCGGTTGAAAAAAAAAACAATGCAAGGAAAAAAAAAAAGAAATGTAACCTTTTATTAAACAAAACAAAAAAAAAGGGGGGGCCAAAAAAACAAAAAAGGTTTTCCCCCCGCCTTTTTTTTTTTGAGGTGGTTTTTTTTTTTTCAAAACCCCAAAAGTTTTCCCCCCTTTTTTTTTTTTGGGGTGGGGGGTGGGGGGGAAGAAAAGAATAAAAAAAAAAAAAAGGGAGTATGGGTTTTTTTTTTTAAAAGAGAAATTTTTTTTTTTTTTTTTTTTCCCCGACGTTTCCCTTAAAGAAACTTTTTAAAAAATTTTTTTGTTTTTTCCCTTTTTTTTTTTTTTTTTTTTTGAAAACTAAAAAAAAAAAAAGGGGGGTTCCCCTAAAAAAAAAAACTTGTGAAAGAAATAAAACTTTTTGCCAAAGGTTTTGTTTCTTATTTTTTCACCCACGAAAATTGCCGAATTTTTTAACCCCCGGGGTTTTTTTGAAAAGGTTTGGTTTTTTTAGTTCCTAAACCTTTTTTCCCCCCCC